TTAGAGCAAAGACAATTAGTTTAAAGGGTGTCATAGCAGGTGTGCAATGACTGAAAGTTCTTCCAAAATGAGCCTGAATACACACCACACCGTTCCCATTCAGGAAATGAAGGAGCTGGAAGTAGGTAGAGAATTTGAGGAAAAAATATGTGGAAAGGTTTTTGCTTACCATCTCTTCTCAACACACCAACTGGGGTTTGGGGTGATAGAGTTGGCAGTGACAATTGAGTCTAGATCTAGTCCAACAATTCTAGTTCAGACAGGGCAGAGAGTGGCCTGATTTGCAGCTGGTAGGTCTGTGCTTGGCAGCTTGAAAGTTTAAGTGGAAGAAAAAGCTGATTGCCAGTTTCAAGAAGCCATGCTGCAGAGCTTTCTGTAACAGAATGTGTAGGTATGGTGTCCTCAAGCAAGCAGCTACAACTTGATGGGATCTTTCAGACTGTGAAGCTACACTCTAGACCCTCTGAACATCACCTATGCCATAGAAACAGATCAGAATATGAATCATTGTGCCAATTTAGGGTTCAGCCCAGACAACAGGAAAGAAGACATCAACTGTAGCCAAGCATGTATTTGAATACCAACTTCCCTCCCTCTGAATCTGGAAGCAGAATTGGGACAAGAGTATAGTGAAGAAAATCAAAAACGGAATTTCTAATTTGGAACTGACATTGAGTACACTGTACACTGCTCAGCTGATGGGTGCACTAAAATCTCAGAAATCACAACTAAAGAACTTATGCAACCAAACACACCACCTGTTCCCCAAAAACGACTGAAATAAAATTTTTTAAAAAGATAGCTAGAAGTGTATAATTGGATTGTTTGTAACAAAAAGAAAGGATAAATGCTTGAGGTGATGGGTGCCCCATTTATTTTGATGTGGTTATTACTCATTGCATGCCTATATCAAAATATCTCATGTACCTCATAAATACATACACCTACTATGTATCCACAAAATTAAAGATTAAACAAATAAATTTTAAGACATAAAAAAAAATATATGCAAAGAATTTTTACTTCCTGGAAACTGACTAGAGATGCCAAATGTCTCAGTTGGCCCGGGCTATGTGATTTCCTAAGACAGAACAAGTCCTAAAACAGGGAAAGTCCTGAGCAAACTGGGATGAATTGGTCACCTAGGATTTATCTTAAATGGAAGCAATTTTAGGAATTTTCAGACTTTGAAATTCCATATTTCTTTCATATCTAGAAATAAATTTAAGATTAAGGTAACTACTTAATCCAATGTTTAATATTTCTCATCTTAACAGGCATAAACAAAACGTTTTTCATGCTAAAAGTAAAAACCACTAAACACATTATTTTACACTTTTACATTTTTGTATTAATATGTTATATATACATTATAATATATCTCTGTGATATAATCTCACATCTCAAGATTAACTTTTTAAATATATATATTTAAATATATATAAGAATATATAAGAATGAAAACGTATTTAAATATTTAAGAAGATATGTACATATTTAAATAATATATAACAATGTATTTTATAGATATTATCTATTCTTAATCATACATAATTCTTATACAAGATTAACTTTTAATATATAAATATATTTAATATATGATTCTTAACTTTTCTATGATTAATATTTTGATTCTTTTTAAATATATAAATACGTAAAAATTAAACGCATTAATATTAAAAATTTTTAAATATATATTTAAAAAGAATTAAATATATATATTAAGTTAATATAATATAAAATATATAGTAATATAAATGTAAAGATTATAATAGATAATGTAATCTATAAATATATAACATTATATAATATAATCTATAAAGTATATAGTTAATATCTATAAAATATATAATATATAGTAATGTAAATGTAAAGATTATAATAGATAATATAATCTATAAAATAGTTAAGTATATAAATTATATAATATATAAATATATATTAAATATATACATATTTGAATATTTAAGAATAAGAATATATTTAAATATATTATTTAAAATATTAAATATATTAAATTATCTATTAATAACTATAATAAAAATAGTTAAATATATAATATATAAAATATACAATATAGATAACATAAAATATATATTTATTATTGTTTAATAATATAGGCCGGGCGCGGTGGCTCAAGCCTGTAATCTCAGCACTTTAGGAGGCCGAGGCGGGTGGATCACGAGGTCGAGAGATCGAGACCATCCTGGTCAACACGGTGAAACCCCGTCTCTACTAAAAATACAAAAAATTAGCTGGGCATGGTGGCGCGTGCCTGTAATCCCAGCTACTCAGGAGGCTGAGGCAGGAGAATTGCCTGAGCCCAGGAGGCGGAGGTTGCAGTGAGCCGAGATCGCGCCATTGCACTCCAGCCTGGGTAACAAGAGCGGAACTCCGTCTCAAAAAAAAAAAAATAATAATAATAATAATATATATTATATATTTAACTATATACTTTAGGGATTATATTATCTATCATTGTATATATGTCTTATGATTCTTAATATATAAATATATTTAATAATCTTTTATTTGATTCTTAACTTTATATATATATTTTTAAATATATTTTATATATTTAAATATATATTTATATTTATTAAAAGTTAAGAATCTTGAGATATGAAATTATCTTGGATCATCCAGGCAGGGTCAACCTAATCACATAAGTCCTTAAAAGTGGAAGAGGGAGGCTTAAAGTAGGAGTCAGGGAGATGAGATGAAAGAAGAGACAGGAGACTCAGAGGAGAGACATGTGATCCACTGCTGCTGGTTTTGAAAACAGACAGAGGCCATGAGCCAAGGAATGCAATCAGCCACCAGAAACTCAGCTGTCAACCATTAAGGTAACAGGGCTCTGAATCCTATAACTACAAGGAACTGAATTCTGTCAATAACCCAAATGAACAAGGAAACAGATCCTTCCCTAGAGCATGCAGAAAGAAATGCAGACCTCCTGTTAACATCTTGATTTTGGCCCAGTGAAACGCACGTCAGATTTTTTGACCTACAGAACTGTAAGATTATAAATCCATGCTAAGCAACTAAGGTTGTGGTAACTTACCATGACTGCAATGGAAAACTAATACAATATATTAATTCAGTCTTTCATTTATAAGCTATAGGGGGAAAAGTAAGGGTGGGAAGGTAGAAGAGGAAAAAAATTATGAAATAACAGAATTCTCAGAAAATCTTTTAAATGTTTTGTATATGTTTTAGAATCATGAAAGGAAAAAACAGTATCACCATATTCTGTAGTTAGCCTGGGAAAAGACAAATTGGTTAGAAACCAGTGGCAGCAACAGAAAGGAGGTAGATGGTCAATGAGTAAGAAGTTTGCTCACACAGGCTATTATTTTTTTTGTACACCTTCAAAGATACTACTTTGCCCATCACCTGCTCTTTCTGAAGCCAAAAACTGAGAAAGCTGAGGGAAGAGGATGGAAAAAGGAAAATCCCCCCTCTTAACACTCATTACATTCATTATAGAAAGATTGTTCTTGTTAAGGCCCCCAAGGACAATCCTGGAATTATTTTAACAAGTCTCTGTGTACACAACATTTTGTATAAACAAAACCTATGGAACTGCCAATAGATTTTCTTATTTTAAAAAAGGGCTGTTTAATGAAACACTGAAGGACAATCATGCCTTTAAAAATAAATGATCAGTTGGGTGCGGTGGCTCACACCTGTAACCCCAGCACTTTGGGGGACCGAGGTGGGCAGATCACTAGGTCAGGAGATTGATACCATCCTGCTCAACATGGTGAAACTCCATCTCTACTAAAAATACAAAAATTAGTTGGGCGTGGTGGCGTGTGCCTGTAGTCCCAGCTACTCGGGGCGGGGGGGGGGGGGGGGGGGGGGGGGGGGGCTGAGGCAGAATTGCTTGAACGCTTGAACCTGGGAAGCAGAGGTTGCAGTGAGCAGAGATCACACCACTGCACTACAGCCTGGCAACATAGTTAGACTTGGGCTCAAAAATAAATAAATAAATAAAAATGGTCAACTCTCAGCTTCAAGAGATTGTTTACAGCAATTCAGCATAACCTTTGTTAGGTTATAGATACAATGAAGTACAAGTCAAAGGTTTAAGTATTTAAGCCAGGGTGCTTATTTCTTTTTATATTCTTAAGTCTTTTTATATTCTTAAGTCAACATAAGCTCTGCTTTGCGGAAAAACACTATTTGTATTGTATTTCTCATTTGCGGCTAAATATAGCTGTGTGATTAGATTCTAGCTAGAAGCGTCACCTCAGCTCACCGCAACCTTAGCGTCCCAGGTTCAAGCGATTCTCCTGCCTCAGCCTCTTGAGTAGCTAAGATTACAGGCATACGTAACCACATCTGGTTAACTTTGGATTTTTCGTTTGTTTGTTTGTTTTTGAGACGGAGTTTCACTCTTGTTACCCAGGCTGGAGTGCAATGGCGCGATCTCAGCTCACCGCAACCTCCGCCGCCTGGGTTCAAGCAATTGCCTCCGCCTCCCTAGTAGCTGGGACTACAGGCACGCGCCATTATGCCCAGCTAATTTTTGTATTTTTAGTAGAGACGGGGTTTCACCATGTTGACCAGGATGGTCTTGATCTCTTGACCTCGTGATCCACCCGCCTCGGCCTCCCAAAGTGCTGGGATTACAGGCGTGAGCCACCGCGCCTGGCCAATTTTGTATTTTTAATAGAGACGGGGTTTCTCCATGCTGGTCAGGCTGGTCTTGAACTCCTGACCTCAGGTGATCCATCTGCCTTGGCTTCCCAAAATGCTGAGATTACAGGCATTAGCCACTGTGCCCGGCCCACCTAATGCTTTTTATTGGAGGAGTATTAGAAAACAATATTTAAAACCATATTTGTTTCTGGATTAGTGATGAATGTACCGTATACTAAAAATATACTAATTGTATACTTTGTAATGTGTTAATTTTATGGTATGTGAGTCATATTTCAATGAAGCTGTTATTTTAAAAATATGTTAAAATGAATAATTCAAATAAACTGAGATATTTAAATATTTTTAATTAAGCTTTAAATTGAATTGAAACTACCATTTCAATGGGATATGAGAATCATTTATTAAACATATTTCTGAAATATAAAACTTTTAGTGTCAATCCAGATGCTTTAACTTGTGCCTATTCTGATATCCCCCTTTACATTTGCTTCTATCTTATTATTATTCATTTCCAGATTCAGGTTTTGCATTACTTTGAAGAGCATTTTATCATCTTTTTTATCTCCTGAAGCAGCCCTTTTGTTGAGAGCTTCTTCTGCTATAATAAAAAACTGTTCTGTTGGCTGAAGAATGCTTACTCCATAGCCTTTGTTGCTATAAATATGATTACTAGTCATCTTCAATTTGGGTGCTGGAAGAACCTGTTAAATTATTTGAGGAAATTAGTTTTTCAATAATTTTATTTAAAAAATGAAGTAATGAACATACAAAAAATAGCTTTGACTTTATTCTTAGATTAACAGATTTCTTCAAACAGCCGAGACTCTCAATTTTGAACAAGTGTTAAGTGCTATTTTCAGGACACCATCTAATGTATTAATAACTACAAAAGTAGTTAATAAGAAAATATTAAATGAAGTTTTCAATTAACTTTTATCAGTTATTGATAAAAGCAACTAATTCTGTATGGGGACACAGCCCATGAGGCTGACCTCATATAACATAATAAACATGAAAATAAATAATTTCAGATAATATGTGATGTGGAGAAAATAAGGTAATGTGATAGCATGACTGGGTGGGGAGATGTTGAACTAGAGTGTGCTTTTTAAAGGCTTCTTTGAAGAGGGACAATCACATTCAGATAGTAATAAGAATATCTATAGAAAGAGTGCTTCAGGTGAAGGTAACAGCCAAAACAAGGTTAATAATTTCTGGGAACACAAAGAAAGCCACTGTGGCTTGACATTGTAGAAGAAGAAAACTGGAAGGAAATGAAATTGGAGAAAGCAGGGCCCAGATCTTGTTAGATTTTATAAACCATGTTTATCAAATTTTAATTTAAGTATCAATCATCTGGGGAGCTTATTAAAGACCACAGTTTGTTCAAGAGGTCTGGTGTCAGGCAGTTCTAGCAAACTACCAGGTGATGCCAATGCTGCTGGTCCATGGCTCACACTTTGAGTAGCAGGAATATGACTTTTTTTTTTTTTTTTTTTTTTTTGAGATGGCATCTCACTCTGTCACCCAGGCTGGAGTACAGTGACACAATCTTGACTCACTGCAACCTCCACCTCCCGGGTTCAAGTGATTCTTCTGCCTCAGCTGCCCAAGTAGCTGGGACTACAGGTGTGTGCCACCATGCTTGGCTATTTTTTGTATTTTTAGTAGAGAGGGGGTTTCATCATATTGGCCAGGCTAGTCTCACGCTCCTGACCTCATGATCCACCCGCCTCAGCCTCCCAAAGTGCTGGGATGACAGGCGTGAGCCACCGCACCCAGCAGGAATATGATTCTTAAAGTGTGAGTTCAACCGGCAGTATCAGCATCACCTAGGAACTTACAAAACAAATTCTCAGGCTTTACCCTCCGACCCACTGAATCAGAAAGCACAGTGGGCCTCTGTAACAATGATTCTGACGCATGCTAACATTCGAGGACCACTGAAAAATTGAAAAATATTTAAGAACAGGAAAAAATGTTTTAAGATAAATCAAAGATTTTAAAACTGCTCCCATTCACCATTTGTACCTTATTTTCAATTATCTGACTTAGTGTCTAGAATAATACAGGGAGTGGGAGGCTACTAATAATATATAATACAATTCCTGCCCTTAGGTAATTTATAATCTATTTGAGGAGACAAAACGTACATTCACAAAACAGAGAATTAGAATGTTCTAGAAAAAAACTTCATTAACATGAAAGTTCATTAACTACACAAGTCTAGAAAGGGACTTAGAAAGATAGGATTTATAAAAGCAGAAAGGAATTAAAAGACATTTCACCTAGATATTATTGCTATTAATGTTTTAATTGGTTAGCTTAAATCATTTAACACAACTTTGAAAGTAAGACTTCAAATGCTCCTTAATATATTATTCTTAATTTGTTTTACTTGTTAAAGTAATTTGTAATACCAAAATGTATTACAGATCTGATCAATGAAAACTCTAAAATGTCTTTAAGAGAAAAATCTATGCAATTTATCACATTCAAGGTTATTTGCAAAGAATTTAAGTACCAATTATTAAATTATAAGGCTAAACTTATTTCCCATCAGCCATCATTTGACCATATTTTATTACTTGTACTATTCTTTTCAAAATCAATGATGATATTTAGAATAGCTTTCAAGACTAAAACTAGTATTTTAGTACTTATAATTAGTTACAATTCATATAACAATTCTACATCAAGAAATAAGAGAATACCTTCATATTAACTCCACCTAAGGTGCTTTTTGAACTGTCACTGGTTCTGAGGTTATTACAGTGATGAATTTCATTTCTTTCCAAAACGGCTATGCTTCCAGGATACAGTTCAACACCAGCACCCTGTAAATTAAAAGCAAATTAAACTATCTACAAAACAGATACAAAAACCCCTCTCCAAAATCTTCTTTAGACTTGAAAATTGTAATTATGTATTAGCAATGTAAACATTACATGAAAACACATGATAATGCAGGCAACTGTTAATTGTAAACATGATACTTAAAAATATTGAAAACGTAAATATCTGTTAGAGCATCATTAAACTTAGAAGGTTGAGGTCATATAATCCATTACCTTAATCTGCCACCCAGATGATTTTCTACAAGGGAGTCCAAAACCTCTTTAAGCAAATGTAAAAATTTACATCTCCTATAAATCCCATGTAATGCCACTAGAGTATATTTCCTCATTTTAGTGGAAATTTTAAAAATTCTTTTAAAAGGTGCTCCTGTTTTTCTATTTCCTTTAATCTTTTTTCTCATCCAATTCTCCAGTCCTTTAATAATCTGTGTGATTGTTATCTAAAGACTCAAGCTTTTAATTTTTATTTATTTATTGTAAAAGACAAGGTCTTGCTGGGTTGCCCAGGCTGCTCTCAAACTCCTAGGCTCAGGCGATCCTCCCACCTCAGCTCCCAAACTGCTGGGATTACAGAAATGAGCCACTGTGCTTGGCTTCAAGTTTTTTATGTCCTGATTATTCAGAAGCTGTCAGAACTAATCATAATACCTAACATCAATGTCTCATAACTTATATGTCTTATTTCTTTAAAAATAAAGTATCAAATAACTCACTCATGATTTGTGGTATAGCCACTGTTTTCCAGATTTAAAAAAAATCATGCTTATAAAACAAAGCTAAATATTCCTTACTTTGGACCTAGCATTTCATTTTTCCTAAGGTACTATGACACTCTTGTACTCATTTTGTTGATGTCTATCAGGTACTAAGTTTAATTAGAATTCCACTAAAAGATGAACAAATTGCTACCCTTTATTTGTATATTAAGATCACTCGAAGTTGTTATCTACAGTCATATAAAGAATACTTTTTAAAGAATGAAATACCTGGGCACCAGTTATTTCACTGTCTGTAATTGTCAAAGCAGCCCCTGTAAGAACACACACTCCTGTTCCTTCACATTTTAATATGCAGTTTTCTAGAGTCATGTGACCAGACTCCACCACCACGATACCATCAACCGTCCCTTGTTGTATCAAAGATAGATGCATTAGTTTCACATTGTCAGCTTTGGACACCACAAAACTGTCATGAGAAGGTTCAGAAGTAATCATAATTTCCTCTCTCTTTCCAACTCCTGATTCATAGGGATAAAAATACATTATATCAGTAATCTCCCATTTTAAAGCCCTTTTAGTCATTCAACAATACTTGCTATTACTAAAGCTTTTTCTTTTGTGTGTGTGTGTGTGTGTGTGTGCATTTTTTTTTTTTTTTGAAATGCAGATTCACTCTTGTTGCCCAGACTGAAGTACAATGGTGCCATCTTGGCTTACTGCAACCTCTGCCTCCCGGGTTCAAGCAATTCTGCCTCAGCCTCCCGAGGAGCTGGGATTCCACGCATGTGCCACCACACTCAGCTAATTTTGTATTTTTAGTAGAGATGGGGTTTCTCCATGTTGGAGAGGCTGGTCTGTAACTCCCAACCTCAGGTGATCTGCCCACCTCAGCCTCCCAAAGTGCTGGGATTACAGGAGTGAGCCACCACGCCCGGCCAGTGTGTGTGCATTTTTAGAGATGGGTCTTGCTATATTGCTCAGGCTAGTCTCAAACTCTTGGGCTCAAGTGATCCTCCTGCCCCAGCCTCCTGAGTAAGTTGGGACTACAGGTACATAGCGCAGTGCCCAGTTTCACATATTTTTAACAAATAATATAAAGTAGATACATAACTATAGTGTAATCTTTTTCTTTTTTTTTTTCTTTTTTCAAGATGATCTTGCACTGTCACCCAGGCTGGAGTGCTGTGACTCGATCACGGCCCATTGAAACCTGACCTCAAGTGATTGTCCTACCTCAGCCTTACAATTAACTGGGGCTAAAAGTGTGTGCCACCACATCCAGCTAATTTTTGAATTTTTTGCAGAGATAGGGTTTCACTATGTTGTCCAGGCTGGTCTCAAACTCGTGGGCTCTAAGCAATCCACCTGCCTCAGCGTCCCAAAGTGCTGGGATTATAGGCTATAGGCACCATGTCTAGCCTTTGTTGTTGTTGGTTAGACCATGAGAATACTCTTACTTCAAAGTAAAAAAGCCGGAAAGTTTCTAAATATGTTCAAGACCTAAAAGAAATTTAGTAAATTCTGAGTTTCTACTTCTGTTAGCCTTTTTGAGAAAATGATGAGCATATTTTAATACAGCTTTACATCTGGGTTTTCTTAGTAAAGTGATATGAAAAGCAGTAAAGATAGATAAGAAAAAAGTGGTTTTGGTAAAAATATAAATGGAGCTAATAGGAAATATGATGAACATGTCTTAATTATAAAAGGAACATAAAGTATTTTTGTAAAACATAAATTCTATTGTAATTTCTAATAATTCCATGAAGGATGTTTAGAATACCCAATTTGTGCAGTATACATTGTTATAAAAAAACTACAAAGGATGTCCTGGCTAACCCTTTATAATGATGTCATCTGTCAACAAAGCAAGATTTGCAGCTTGATAGACTCCTGGAAAAATTATTACTGTATCTCCACTATAACAATTATCCAAAGCCAAATCCAAATCATCATGCTGTTGGAGAAGTGTGTCCGAAGATAAATCCTTTACCTGAAAAGAAATAAAACACTTGCACTTTCAATAACAGGTTAAACTGAAACATGCCATTTAGTCAGTTACTTACCGGACAAGTGCTCCTCACAAAAGACTTATCATTTATTAAAGACTAGCACTTATTAAATGCTCAAAGTATCAGTTCCTCGATTAATGTTGGAATACAATTTTTCTTTACAGTTGTTCATAATTTTATAACTATTAAATATGGGGTATTAGCTATGTGTCATATTTTGAACTTTACATATTACCTCCTTAAGCCTTGCAATAGTTCCTTGACATAAGTAGTATTATCCCTGCTGTAAGGTTAAGGAAATTGAAGCTTGACAAGATTAAAGGAATTGTCAAAATTAGTAGTGAAGCCAAGCTTTAGATCCAGGTCAATATAATACCAGACCTGATGCTCTGCCCTATGTATCCCTTTGTTTTCTTTAACTCAAAATGACTCTCCAATTTTAGTTAACCAACAAAATTCTGTTCTTTTTTAAGGCAGAGTTTCACTCTTGTCTTGGCGCCCAGGCTGGTGCTCGATCTCAGTTCACTGCACCTCTCCCTCCCAGGTTCAAGCGATTCTCTTGCCTCAGCCTCCTGAGTAGTTGGGATTACAGGCACCCGCAACCATGCCTGGCTAATTTTTGTATTTTTAGTAGAAACGGGGTTCCGCCATGTTAGCCAGGCTGGTCTCAAACTCCTGACCTCAGGTGATCCACCTGCCGCGGCCTCCCAAAGTGCTGGGATTACAGGTATGAGCCACCGCACATGGCCCCCAAATCAACAAAATTCTATATATCAAAGATTCTAGAATATGCATTGGGAGTAGAAAGGAGGAGATAACTTCATTATTAGTGTCATAAAGGCTAAAGGGCTTTTATTTATTTATTTTGAGACAGAGTCTAATTCTGTCACCCAGGCAGGAGTGCAGTGGCATGATTATGGCTCACTGCAGCCTCCACCTCCCAGGATCAAGCGATCCTCCCACCTCAGCCTCCTGAGTAGCTGGGACTATAGGCACACATTGCCCTGCCTGGATAATTTTTGTATTTTTTGTAGGGTAGGGTTTTGCTATATTGTACAGGCTGATCTCAAACTCGTGAGCTCAAGCGATTGCCCACCTTGGCCTTCCGAAGTGCTGGAATTTCAGGTGGTAGCCACCATGCCCAGCAGTGTGAAGGACTTTTAAAATATAAATCCACATATAAAATTCGGAAATATATTCTGAAAAATGCCTATTATTCTTTCATTCCAATGAGAATGGCATTATCATGCACTTATCTTTCTTCTTATTATATTATTATTATTTTGAGATGGAGTCTTGCTCTGTCACCTAGGCTGGAGTACAATGGCACAATCATGGCTCACTGCAACCTCCTAGGTTCAAATGATTCTTCTGCCTCAGCCTCCCAAGTAGCTGGGACCACAGGCGTAGGCCACCACACACAGCTAACTTTTGTATTTTTAGCAGAGACGGGGTTTTACCATGTTGGCCAGGAAGCTGGTCTCAAACTCCTGACCTCAGGTGATCCACCCGCCTCGGCCTCCCAAAGTGTTGGGATTACAGGCGTGAGCCACTGTGCTTGGCTGTACCACTTTTTAATAAGAAAATAAGGCTGGGTGTGGTGGCTAATCCCTGTAATCCCAGCATTTTGGGAGGCTGAGGCAGGCCAATCACTTGAGGTCAGGAATTCAAGACCAGGCTCACCAACATGGAGAAACCCCATCCCTATTAAAAATACAAAATTAGCTAGGTGTGGTGGCCCATGCCTGTAATCCTAGCTGCTCAGGAGGCCGAGACAGGAGAATTGCTTGAACCCAGGAAGCGGAGGTTTCGGTGAGCTGAGATTGCACCACTGCACTTCAGCCTGGGCAACAAGAGCAAAACCCTATATTAAAAAACAAAAAAACAAAAAAAAAATGGCACTTGTTATTAAAAACATGAAAAAAGAAAGCGTAACAAAAATGGAAAAATTAACTTGTAAATTCTTAACTAAAGAAAACCTTCGCCGGGCGCAGTGGCTGAAGCCTGTAATCCCAGCACTTTGGGAGCCCAAGGCGGGTGGATCACGAGGTCGAAAGATCGAGACCATCCTGGTCAACATGGTGAAACCCCATCTCTACTAAAAATACAAAAAAACTAGCTGGGCGTGGTGGCGCATGCCTGTAATCCCAGCTACTTAGGAGGCTGAGACAGGAGAGTTGCCTGAGCGCCACTGCACTCCAGCCTGGGTAACAAGAGCGAAACTCCGTCTCAAAAAAAAAAAAAAAAAAAAGAAAACCTTCATTTATATAGATATTTCCCTTTAGTGTATTTCCCATGCGTATATTCATTTATTCAAATGTCAACTGAGCATACCATACATTGTATATACTTTTGAATTCTGATTTTGTCATTATATCCCTGTCTTTGCTATTGTAAATAGCACGTCAAAGACTACTTTTTCTTTTTTTCTATTTTTTTGCTTCCTCAGGTTGAACAAAGACTAAAAACTCATGTATCAGATATATTACAACTTGTATTACGAATTCCTCAGTTTTATTTAGATGCTTTATGAGTTTTCAACATCATGAAAATACTATAACAAATCTTTATGTACATCTCTAGTTATGTATTTAGGAAACATTAATAGACAGGAAATCAAAGGTACAGACATTTTAAGTCTCTTTGCAAAATTCCTCTCCAGTAAAGCTTAATCAATTAAAACTTGGGTTAGGAATGCTGGTTTTGTTATAAACAAACCAATATGGGATCAAAAAAAATTTGTACAATGTTTGCCACTTTAATAGACAAAACTCCTTTCCACCTCACTTACATTTCCATTTATTTGGTAAACGAGAGTGAACACTTTTTCTAGATATATGGAAAATTCCTATAAACCTTACTAGATCAGCACCTACAAATTCATTTGTGCAGGTATTACATACATTGGTGGCAGAAGGATATTACAAGGATTACCGCTGTAAATAAATAATTTTTAAGAACTCTGAAACTCTCCACACTTACAGTTTTCTTATTCACTGAAACAAGAAACACAGGAGAGAGAGAAATAGTGTGATAGAGAAAGACAATGAGTTTAGTTTAGGTGCCAATAAATTTGAAGTGCCCATCGAGTCACTAGGTAGAGGTATCCAGTAGACTAGGGATATAGGGTCTAGAATATAGGACCTTATAGTTAAAAACAAGGGTAAATATAAAGGAAGTATTACTGTATTTTTGGATTGTGACTCCTTTTTTTCTTTCCTACCTAATTTAAGATACCAATGCCTAAAACAATAATTATAAATCCATGCTAATAGGGAAACAATGTATAAAGATGTAATTTGTAACAAAAACAACATAAAGGAGGGATGGAGCTGTATGTTATTAAAGAAAAGTTGGTATCAATTCAAACTCAATTATTATAAATGTAGGATGTGAGGCTGGGCAAGGTTGCTCATGCCTGTAATCCCAGCACTTTGGAAGGCCAAGGCAGGTGGATCACAAGGTCAGGAGTTAGAGACCAGCCTGGCCAAGATGGTGAAACACCGTCTCTTCTAAAAATACAAAAATTGCTGGGCATGGTAGCAGGCACCTGTAATCCCAGCTACTTGGAAGGCTGAGGCAGGAGAATCGCTTGAACCCGGGAGGCAGAGTTTGCAGTGAGCAGAGCTTGCATTACTGCACTCTAGACTGGGTGACAGAGCAAGGCTCCATCTCAAAAAAAAAGAAAATAGAATATGAACTATAGTTCCCTTGATAATCACCAAGAATATAACTAAAAAATATGCACAAAAGGAAATGTAGAGTAAATTAAAATGATACACTGAAAAACAATCATCAAACACAAAAAGAGGGTACTGAAAACACTGCATAACATAAAACAAATATCACCTGTAGGAAAAAAAGTAGCCAATGGCAGAAGTCCTTCCTTATCAGTAACCACCTTAAATGTAAATGGATTAAGATTACCAATTTTAGGCTGGGCGCGGTGGCTCAAGCCTGTAATCCCAGCACTTTGGGAGGCCGAGGCGGGTGGATCACGAGGTCGAGAGATCGAGACCATCCTGGTCAACATGGTGAAACCCCGTCTCTACTAAAAATACAAAAAATTAGCTGGGCATCGTGGCGTGTGCCTGTAATCCCAGCTACTCAGGAGGCTGAGGCAGGAGAATTGCCTGAACCCAGGAGGTGGAGGTTGCGGTGAGCCGAGATCGCGCCATTGCACTCCAGCCTGGGTAACAAGAGCGAAACTCCATCTCAAAAAAAAAAAAAAAAAAAAAAAAAAAAGATTACCAATTTTAAAAGACTGGTAAAAAAGGATAAAGAAAAACACTGAAATTTTCAAGTGTGTGAAGAAGGAAGACTGTGGATCTGCATCAACATTTTATGTCCCCTAAATGTAGCCTTTCTCACATTTATGTCGTATCATCATCATACCAACTAACATAGTACCTGGCAACAAGGTTAGTACTCAGTAAATAGCTGTCATCATTTATTTATTTAGTATCTATTATATGGCAATAACTGAGCTGGAAGTAGTTGAGAAAATAAGGCATTAATGATTAGACAAGGACTCTACCCTCAGGGAGCTTCTTTTCTGATTACACACAGCTAATACTTAAATAACAAATAAGAATACAGTTTATTTCTTACCATTTCAGTAGTCATCACTTTCACTACGATATGTGTTATAGTCTTTCCAAATTCTCTTTTTCCTTTCCTACGCCTCAGAATTCTTGGAAAGAAAGGTCCATGAACTCTATAGTTGAAAAGATTTAGTTGTAATTAAATTAACATGAAAAAGCCTGACCCTGTCCTTACTCAGTAAATAAAAACTTGGTACTAAGCATCTTTGAGAAATAGTTTTCATTAATTATAAGTGTCTTGAGAGCAATAAGCAACTTGAAAGCAATGTAATGATTCAGCTCTTTTCGACAACTGCGTGTTTAAACCCTTAAAACTCTAAAATATTTTCATTTTAATGAACAGTACCTGGAAATCTGCAAGCAACCCACTATAACCATTACCTCAGCCATTTTAACCTTCCAATACAGTAAAAAAAACTACCTGGTGGTACTTTCATAATCCATTGAGTTGTAGACTCACACAAAGATGGGTTATGTCTGTGATAGTATGGCAAAAGAACGTTTTCGAATATGCCTAATTTTAGATACTATGCTCAATTAACACATTATTTTGTTTCATTTTTGTTTTCTTTTTGCTTTTTTACCCCATTTAATGATATTCTGTTATAAGCAACATTATTTTGTTTCAAAGGATGTGATCTCCATAAAATAGTTGGCTACTGGCCTCCCAGCAGAACAATTTCAGCTTCTCTCCTAGTTGTTTTTATATTGTTTGCTATTCAGCTCTTCTAATTAGTTCTTTCTCTTCTTCCTGCTTTTGTGTTTCCTGTTTCCTGTCTCTATCATTTAAATGTTTCCAACAGAAAGTCAGAATAAAAATGTCAGTATAATTGTCATCTTTTATCATTACTGTCAGTCAAAAGGGATACTCTTTTTCCAGTAGATATGGATTTACCAGTAATCTCTTTAGTATAATATTTTGCCAATTAACCTAGGTATAATCTTTTGCATTCTCTGAAGCACTTTTATTGCTTTATGCAAAGAGGATGTGGCTTTAGTGTGTGTGTATATATACACACACACTATATATATAATATATATATTTATATATATTTAGTGTATATATATATAATAAATATATTTATATATATTTAGTATATATATATAGCATATATACTATATATATACAGTAGAAATATATATACACCAGGTTATACTATATATATATAGTATATAGGTTATACTATATATATACTATATATATTTTATATATATATATATACTATATATATTTTTTATATATATATTATATATATTTTTTTTTATATATATACTATATATATATTATATATATATATATATACATATATAGTTAGGCCATGCAAGTATATATATAGTTATATAGTTATAACTATAAATATACTTACATGGCCTAACTATATAACCATATATATACTTATATGGCCTGTCTTTGTGCTTCTTTTAAAACCTGTTCTGTAGACAGACTCTGTCTGTGTCTTGCTACTTTTTAGCTATAATCCAGTCAGCTTATTTACTTCACATATTCTATATAGTGGAGGTCTACCTGTTCCTTTCTTATGCTGTAGCCAAAATCATTAAGAGTTAAAATGAAAGATAAGGAAAGAATTGGATTACTGAATTCTTTTGGTGAAAAAAAATCATCAGTGAATTCAGTTAATATAAACATAATTTCCCAATACTGATAGTTTTACCCTGTGCTTACCTCATAAATTAGACATCTAATTTTATACTTCACTTTAATCAGAACATATATCACAAATTAAGTGCTATGATAAAGTAATAGCCATGTAAACTTTTGCTTCTATTTAAAATAGAGCAAATTATTACCGGAGGCGTAAATCTTCCCACATTTTCAATAATCCACAGAGCATGGCTATCTCATAGTATTTTTTCCAGCATTCAACAGCCTCTGCTGCAGATGGATCTTCTTTAATATTGCTTTGATACTCAATGAGCTCGACACGTTTGTTTTTATACTTCTCCAAAGTTTTTTTAAAACGTTGTGCAACAGGACCAGGTATTGTTCCATCCTGCATATCACACCACCTGAAAAGTATCAATGTAATTATAACGTTTATTTTTTCTAATGTGTGGTGTAAATTTCTAAACTATACTTACAAATTAATTCTTTCTTCAATAAGTGCAGTATAATTCTCACAACTTTCTTCATCATCCCAGTCTCTCCAAAGAAAGTCATAAAAAAACCTATGATAAACCAAAGTAAGATGACAGTAATCAAAAACAGACACTACTGATTTAGAGTTAAAAAGATATTCTGATGTCAGAATTCTCTACGTCAATCTTTAATCTTAAGAAAAATATTTTAAAATGACCTTTGAGTGAACTAAAATAAAAGGTAAAACTTTAAAAATTAGATGATTTGCATTCTGTTTCAGGTTACTATAAATGAGATAATGTTTCTGGAAGTGAGATTGTAAAATTCAGTTTCTAAATTTCATAGATTTTGGCTACTACTTGCTCAACAAATAAATAATATGTACAATACTATCAAATTTGTATGGGAGGAAAACATTAGAAAAACAAAAACATGCCAGAAAACATTCTGTATTTTGTTTGTGGAAAGCTTCCCTCAAATTGTATCAACTTATAAAAAGTAATCATAATGTGAATGATGATATGTAGTATTTATAATGCTGTTAGATGTGAGAAATGCTAATGTATTCATTAATATGGTTAAATATGAATACAAGTTAATGTTACTTATTTGAAGAATTCTTTCAAATTTGATTTTTGTAAAATGCAAGATCAAAAAATTGCAAACTTTTCATTACCCATATATGTTTCTGTAAGGAAATGTTTTTACTAAAAGTTACAAATACGATATATTAATTTAAAATTGACAAATTTAATCCAGTAGTGAGTAAAAATTAAATCAGTAAATACTTATAAAGTGATTATATGAACAAAACTTTCACATCGACTTTTGAATACGATAATTTAACTTCCAAAAGTAAAGGCCCTAATACCTGACAACTTCCAAGGCCAAAGCAATATCATGTATGTCAGTATCTTGTCCCTCAACAGGATACACTTCCAAAAGAGGCACACTGTGTTCCAGTTCCTCCAAAATCTCATCAACCAAATACCTTGGAATATTTGCAATGTTAGAAGAAAGGGGCTCAGCGACAGAAACAGTAACTTTGAAACGAGCTGATGAGTCTTGGTACGGTTCACAAGTTACCTAAGATAAATATCATAAGAGATGCAGTTATAAATATCAGTAAACCACAGAAGTTTACTGATAAGAGAGAGATTTTGAGCATGAGCTGACTCTCAGTCACTGGCTAATAAAGGACTTGCAATTTGAACCCAGAGTGTGACGCTTCTTCCATAACTCGCTCAGTCACAACAATTATAGATCAATATTAAATATACTATGAATAGTTTTTCAAACCCTACTTTTTAAACACATTTTTTTAGTTTCATGGAAGGAATTCTGTATCTCCTACATTATTTGTTTCTAAGATTGAGTTGCCAGACTTTGAGATTTCATAAAACAGTGTGTGTATATATGTTTATATATACGTATTTAAGCCAGGGTCTTATTGTGTTGGTCAAGCTAGTGTGCAGTGGTTATTCACAGGTTTAGTAATCACTGCACACTCATCCTCGAATTCCTGGGCTCAAGTGTCCTCTTACCTCAGCCTCCTGAGGACCTGGGACTACAGGCACATGCCACTGTGCCCAGCTAATATTATAAAAAAAATTCTTGGACAAATTTTGCCATAAAAGCATGTTTAAAAAAAAAAAAAGCCCTGCTATCTGTATTACATCATTGGCATCACTGGTAAAAGAATGACTATTCAAACATTACAAAAACAAAAAAGCAGAAAGGACATAAAGAGTAAATTTCTCAAGTTGATTGAGCTTCATGAACAACATGCTATATTGTGTTTACTCTTCTTATTTCACCATAGTATGGTGATACTTCCCTGCACTTGTCTGAAAATCAGTGTATGAGAACCAAAGTTGATAATAGTTTTTACATTTTTTAATAAATTATATTACATATTAATGCAAATTTTAAAATGTTGGCCCATGCCGGGCACAGTGGCTCACGCCTGTAATCCCAGCACTTTGGGAGGCCGAGGCAGGTGGATCATGAGGTCAGGAAATCGAGACCATCCTGGCCAACATGCTGTTATCACTTTGCCATTATCTCAGGAATTCCCTTTGTTTTTCTTGTATGTTGTGGTTTCTCTGCATTTTGAATCTAATGTCTTCATACTTCTTGATTTATTCCTTTGACTGTAGATGACATCCATTAACTTCCTAAGAAAGGGTACATTGCACATAACTTTTGAGACCTCACACACTTGAAAATGTCTTTTTCTACTCTTAACGTATAGGGTTACTAGGTATAAAATTGTACAATAGAATATCACTTTCCCTAAAATTTTTAAAAATATATTTTCATAGCTTTTAAAACTAGGAATTACTACTGAAAAGTCTGGGCTGGGTATGGTGGCTTATACCTGTAATCCCAGCACTTTAGGAGGCTGAGGTGGGAGAATCTCTTGAGGCCAGGAGTTCCAGACCAGCCTGGCAAACATAGTGAAACCCATCTCTACTAAAAATGCAAAAATTAGGCCGGGCGCGGTGGCTCAAGCCTGTAATCCCAGCACTTTGGGAGGCCGAGGCGGGTGGATCACGAGGTCGAGAGATCGAGACCATCCTGGTAAACATGGTGAAACCCTATCTCCACTAAAAATACAAAAAATTAGCTGGGCATGGTGGCACGTGCCTGTAATCCCAGCTACTTGGGAGGCTGAGGCAGGAGAATTGCCTGAACCCAGGAGGCGGAGGTTGCGGTGAGCCAAGATTGCGCCATTGCACTCCAGCCTGGGTAACAAGAGCGAAACTCCATCTCAAAAAAATAAATTAGCTGGATGTGGCAGCGCATGCCTGTGGTCCCAGCTACTCGGGATGATGAGGCACAAGAATTGCTTAAGGCTGGGAAGCAAAGGCTGCAGTAAGCCAAGATTGCACCACTGCACTCCAGCCTGGGTAACATAGCAAGACTATGTCTAAAAAAAGAAAAGTCTGATGTATAATGCCATTCTGCCTCTTGATTCTTTATATAAACTATCTTTTTTTTCCTCTCTGGAATATTATTGAACCTTCTCTTTGGCCCCAGTGTTCCCAAATTTCACTATGTGCTGGACACGAAGTGGCCCCTTTCACTCTAGAAATTTATGTCCTTTGGGCCTGAGAAACTTTCACAATTTGACAACTTGCTTTCTTCCGTTCTTGGCACCAACCTCTACCCCACTCTCTCTTCTCCCTTCCTTTTCTCTCCTCCTCATCTCCTCTTCACTGGTTGATCTGCCCAGGCTCTTTCTGTTGTAAGTCAGTATCATTAGGTCTTTTTTTTTTTTTACATATGATCATACAAAAATCTTTCAAATCTCATTCCTGGAGGGATATGCCTTAGCTGCCTGTGTTCTAGAAGCACAGATGGGGGGTAAGATACAGGATCCCAACATTCAGTATCAGTAAATTTCCATGTAATTCCCATCTTCCCAATTGGAGTACTCCCACCCTTAGCCACCCTTCTTAAGTTGGCTTCTTAAATCTGTAGACTTATATCTTTTGAAAAATTTGGTAAATTTTTTGCAATTATTTGAATATTTTTCAGCCCTCCTTCTTTCTTCTCTCTTTCTGGAACTCTGAAGACATGAATATGAGGTCTTTTGTTATAGTCCAGCATGTTCATGAGGGTCTGTCTTTTTAAGTCTATTTTCTTTATGGTGTTATGATTTGATAATTTCTATTTTTCTATCTTCAAGTAAAATAATTTTCATGTCTTCATTCTATTGTTTTGTTGTTACTCTTCTACACATGTTGCTGTTTCCAGGTTGTTAGCTCTTCTAGTACCCCACCTAGAATATATGGTGCAAAGAAAAGGCCAGGTGGCTGAGCACAGTGGCTTATATCTGTAATCCCAGCACTTTGGGAGGCTGAGGTGGGTGGATCACCTGAGGTCAGGAGTTCGAGACCAGCCTGGCCAACATGGTGAAACCCCATCTCTAAAAAAAATACAAAAATTAGCTAGGCTTGGTGGTGGGTACCTGTAATCCCACCTAACTGAAAGACTGAAGCAGAAAAATCACTTGAACCCAGGAGGCAGAGGTTGTAGCGAGCCAAGATCGCACGATTGCACTCCAGCGTGGGTGACAAGAGCAAAATTCTGTCTCAAAAAAAAAAAAAAAAAAAAGAAAGAAAGAAAGAAAAGAAAAGCCCAGAAAACTTACTACCTTATTGTTCCTTGGGTCATGAGGTCCCTAGCCAATCTGCCTCCCTAGCCAATCTGCCTTCTCTCCACTTTTCAGAGCTGTATACTTGTTTTATAGATGCAATCCAGGGATTTTAGTTGTACTTAATGGGAGGAGTCGGGGGGAAAGTATGCCTACCCCATCTTCCTAGAAGTGCCTGTCCTTTTGAGCAGTTCTTCTTTCTTAGCTCCACTTTCAACCTCATTTCCAGAGTTCTGAGTACAGTCAATTCCTGAGTACTTAAGGTTATACAGTATAAATCAGAGTTGTTTTTATTTGTTTGTTTTGGGATTTCCCTACTGCCTGCCACCTTAGGATTCAACTTTCTTAGTGCTACAGAATCAGTTGCCACTTATTTATCTGATTTACATCTTCTAAATTTTGTTGCTATTTTCTCCTTTCCTATTTTTCTTTGTCCCTGGTTACTTTTTTTTTTTTTTTTTTTTAAGAGACAGAGTTTCGCTCTTGTTACCCAGGCTGGAGTGCAATGGCACGATCTCGGCTCACCACAACCTCCGCCTCCTGGGTTCAGGCAATTCTCCTGCCTCAGCCTCCTGAGTAGCTGGGATTACAGGCAGGAGCCACCATGCCCAGCTATTTTTTTGTATTTTTAGTAGAGACGGGGTTTCACTATGTTGACCAGGATGGTCTCAATCCCTTGACCTCGTGATCCACCCGCCTCAGCCTCCCAAAGTGCTGGGATTACAGGCGTGAGCCACCGCGCCCGGCCTGGTTACCTTTTTAAAAATTCCTTTGCTTTCATTTTGGTGGAGAACTCTGGGAACAAAAAGAAGATCCTACAAGTTTTCAAAGAGGAAAAAAATATATAGGTATTATCAAAGGATTGATGATATTGTCTTCTCAACCAGCAATTCTGGAAGCATGAAGACAATGAAATAATAGTTTCCAAATTCTGAGCATGAAACGAAATCTAGAATTCATATAACCAACCTATCAAATAAATATTCATGTACTGTACAGGCATTTTTTTTTTTTTTTTTTTTTGAGACGGAGTTTCACTTTTGTTACCCAGGCTGGAGTGCAATGGGGCGATCTTGGCTCACCGCAACCTCCGCCTCCTGGGTTCAGGCAATTCTCCTGCCTCAGCCTCCTGAGTAGCTGGAATTACAGGCAGGAGCCACCATGCCCAGCTAATTTTTTGTATTTTTAGTAGAGACGGGGTTTCACCATGTTGACTAGGATGGTCTCGATCTCTCGACCTCGTGATCCACCCGCCTCGGCCTCCCAAAGTGCTGGGATTACAGGCTTGAGCCACCGCGCCCGGCGCTTTTTTTTTTTTTTTTTGAGACGGAGTTTTGCTCTTGTTACCCAGGCTGGAGTGCAATGGCGCGATCTCCGCTCACCGCAACCTCCGCCTCCTGGGCTCAGGCAATTCTCCTGCCTCAGCCTCCTGTGTACAGGCATTTTAAGACATATAAGATCCCAATAATTTTATCTTCTTTGTGGCTATTCTTATAAAGCTGTTAGAATAAGTTCCTTGGCCAAAACGAGAGAATAAACCAACAAGGAAAAAGGAAGGCAGGGAATTTGGAAAATTCATTATTTGCACAGGAGAATGAAGAAAAGAATTCTTAGGATGATGATGATGAGAGATCCTAGGAGAACAGCTGTCTTAGTCTGTTTTCTGTTGCTATGACTGAAGACTTAAGATTTGGTAATTCATAAAAAAAGAAATTTACTTCTTTCAGGGCCTTTCTGCTGGTGGGGAGTCTGTGCTGAGTCCTGAGGCAGGAACTCCATGCCAAATTGGCTTTTATAACAGACTCACTCTACTCTTGTGACAACAAACCCACTCACATGATAACCCTTTAAACCATTAACCTATTAATCCATAAATGGATTAATCCATTTTATATGGTTTGGCTGTGTCCCCTGTCAAATTTCA